TGAGATAAGCCATTTAAGACGTGGAGAGATTATTTTGGTTCTTGATTTTAGTCCATGATTATGTGGCTCTGTGCCCCTCTGGCACGAAATAAGTGGGTGAAAGTAAATAAATCCTGGGCAGGGAGATGGCTTGGCGGTCTAAGTGCCTGCTTGGCAGGCGCAAGGACCTGGGTTCGATCTCTGGTACCGCATGCAGTGCCAGACATGGAAACAGGGTGTGGTTGCGCACGCCTGCAATCCTAGCACTGGGGAGGCTGAGACAGGAGGATCACTATGAGTCTGCGCTGAGTAGCAAGACCTTGTACCAAATAAATACATTTTTTTTTTTTTTTTTTTTTCAGAACCGGGATCAAACTCAGGACCTTGTGCTTGCCAGGGAAGCACTTATTCCACTGAGCCATCTCCCCGGCCCTATAAATCTTTTTAAAAAGGTTGAAAAAAGAAATCCTTTACTACTGGGTGCAGGAGGGCTGCCGGGGAGAAGCTGGAGACCCTGGGGTGGAGACAGAGGTTGGAGCTTTTATCAGATTGGGCTAGGGGCGGAGCTTACGTGGGCGGTGCTGCGTCCTAACAGGCGCTGATTGGGGGAGGGTTGGCGCCCCGAAAATCAAAAGAAATTCATGGTTAACTTGAGGAAAGGAGGTGGAGAATTCCTGGTTTGTTCTGGGATCAGTGCACGTGATGACCGGGAGGATCGCTACCTGGGCACAGACCCATCATTCCCGCCTTTTTGTTGTTAAAGGGGCGACCACTCTCTGCAGCTACTTTCAGGTGACAGAGGTGGGGTGGTTGTGGGGACGAGGAGTCAGCTCCTGTGGAAGCCGGTGCCAGGGGTCTCCGCCAGGATGAGAAACTCATTGGTGGTGAAAGCTCGCATTCTGCATTGGAGAAATCTTGAAAAAGATTAAGAAGAAGAGGTGCTGTGAGTAGTAGGACTGTTATCATGATTAGCGGAGCCAAGAGAGGGAGGCAGACAGATGTCCAGGAGCCAGGATCGGGCCACCAGGAGGAGGACCAAGAAGGAAGAGCCTTGGTGTCAAGGTCATGCAGTTCGTGTGCTTTCTGCAGGATGATGCCTGACTAGTTACCAGAGTAGCAGCATTGTTCCTGGGCGTGAGGCAGGTCCCCCTTTTGCTGCTGTGGGGACATCAGGAGCTCCATGGTTTTGAGGGACTACCGCTGTCCGTGAGTTGGTTTGGGTTTGGAGAAAGTGATGGCTGCTGTAACCTTGTAAATAGACGCAGAGCGATTGGCAGAAAGCCCAGAGCAGAGGTGGTGGGCTGGGCCAGTTCCTCTGCGCCCAAGCCAGCAATAACTTCTGAAAAGAGACACAAACCCACCAGGACTGGAAACACATAGGCCGCCTTGTGAGACCGATGTTGAGACAAGTTTTGTAGGCAAGAAAAGATGCACTTGGCCCCTGGTGGCCAGGGAGACATGTGGGGCCGCCATGGTCAGAGCACAGGGGCCTTGCCAGGTGGGCAGGAGGCAGGTAAAAGTTCCCTGGCCACAGGCGGAAAATAGTCCATGGGGAGGGGAGAGGAGGTTTGAGGTGTCGGGACCCAGGAGGAAACGTGTGCAGAAGTTTAGATCTCCCACTTTAGGGGAGGAAGATCGGGAAGGGTCAGGGTGCCGGATGCAAGAGAGATTTTTAGGCCACTTGTACTGAGATGCCAGGCGGAAGGGTCCAACACTTTTCCCCTTAGAATGGGTCAGGAGAGAAGAAGTATTGACAGCATGGGGTAGGCCATGTACAGTTCTTAATGGAAAGACAAGTAGAACCAGCAGTCAGAAAAATTGGCAGAGCCTACAGCAAAGGCTTCTGCATGAGTTGGAATGTATTACAATGTGTAGGGGCCAAGTCCATTGTTTCTTACAATGGAATGTATAGGGGTTGTAGTGTAGTCCGAGGAGAGGTTTGAAGGATTGGGAAATGGTGGACAGTATGGCGAGTTGAGAAGTGTTGGGTGTTAAAATGAGGCATAGGGACCCAAGGGATAGCTCGGTGGTGTAAGTACCTACCTGGCAAGCACAGGGACCCAAGTTTGATCCCCAGCCCCACATGCCCTTCGGTCTTGGTCCCGGATGTGGTCACACCCACCATGCGGTCCCAGAGCCAGGCGTGGTGGCACATGCCTATAATCCCAGTACTCAGGAGGTTGAGCCAAGAGGATCTCTGTGAGTTTGAGACCAGTCTGGGGGCTACAAATGTGAGCACAAGGCCGGCTGGAACTGTATAGTCAGACCCTGTCTCAAAAAAAAAAAATTAAAAAAAAAAAATAGAAAGGCAGACTAGTTTAAGAAAGAACCCAGGAAGGTCTGGTCTGTTGGGCCTATAGAAATGGCTTCCGTATCCCAGACATCATGGTGAGGGTTTTTGATGGTGCTATTGACCTGCCAAACACTACAGTTACAGAATGAGAGGCATGGGTGGTGTCCCATCCTGAGGGAGGTGTGTGGATTGTTACCAGTCCAGTGGATGCTGTCGTGGAGACCTGATAGTTTCGTATCCTCACAGGGCACAATAGAAGTTCAAATTGTCATCACATCTCTCCCCACAGACAGGGCAAAGGTAGAATCCAGGGGCTTGAGGGGACAGTGGGCGTCTTTTATCTCTTCATACACATGCTTGAGGGTGCTACAATTTTTCCGGTATGAAGGGTCATCAAGGCAAAAGTGTTCGTAAACCTTTAGGTTGGGAAGCAGCAGCTTCAGCAGTAGAAATGAGCAGGAAAGGAAAAGAAGAGGACGAGGATCATTTTTTTTTTTTTTTTTTGCAATGTGGGCGGAGCCTATCACTCGGGAATCAAGTTGTTTGCATTGGAGGAGTTTGAATGTAAAATCAGCTGCCATTCTGTGGCGGGGAGGAAGAAGAACCTCCAAGAGTTAATAGGCGTCTCGAGGCCCCATTCCCTGGTGATGGCAGGGCAAGAACAAAGGTGGAAAAGTTGTGAAGCAGGAATGGTCTGCCATGCCTAAGGCACTTGGAAAAGTGGGTGCTCTGGGAAGGGCCCCAAGTCAAGTTAGGGATGAAGGAGCTGAGGCCAGGGTAAGTATAGTTCTAGAGTAGGTTTTATGAGGTGTGTTTTTAGAAGAGCATTTGCCTTTTCTCCTTTCCCTGAAGACTGTGGGTGGGATGGTATGTCTAGGTGCCAAGGGATGTTTGCTCTGAGGATACCTGCTGGGTAATCTGAGAAATAAAAGCTGGTCTGCTGTCTGATTGGGTGGATCGGGGTAGGCCAAATGGGGGTGTGTGTGGTTATTTATCTCTTCCATAAGAGTTTTGCTAACTACATCCAAAGTCTCTTGCATGGTGGGAAAGGCCTCTATTCATTCCAAGAAGTGCATACAAAGGTAAGAAGAGACGAGGAGGCATGTGTGTAAAATCAATCTGCCCATCTTTGCCTGGAGTGTGTCCATGAAATTGGTGGGTTGGGAAAGAAGCGGGAGGTAAGTGTCCCTGAGTAGAGGTTTTGGCAGAGGTGACACCCTTGGGGGACTTGGTGAATAATGGTTTTTAGGGAGGGTTGGGTAGTGACTGGAGTTTATATAAAGCTTGGATACCGCATGAAAGCAACTGTGTAGATCGATGATGGTATTTAAGCCTGTTGAACTGAGAGGAGACGCTTTGATCCATGGACGATGCATCCCTGCATGTTTTGGCTGTAGTTTGGTTTTGTGGAGTCATTGGCATTGTTTAGGTGAGTACTGAGGTGAGGGAAGGGTGTTGGGGACAAGGGGAAGAGAATGGGAAGGGGAGGGCTGTTGTTCAGCCAACTCGGCCTGTGTGTTGGCGAAGGTGTTGCCCTGAGACATAAGGGCCGGGTGGGGGCTGGTGGCCTCTACCGTGAATGACCACTCCCTGCTTAGGTCGCGCTGCTTCCAGAAGCTTGAGGACAAGGGTGCGCTGGTGAGAGGACTTCCTTGGGTGCTGAGTAGACCTTTCTTGCCAGATGGCAGCCTGGGAATGGATATCCTTCATCCACTCAATGTGTGTGATTTTGTCCTTGGCTGCGGTGAGGGCTGGCGTGAGAGCGCCAAGTTCCGCCTTCTGTGGAGATGTCCCTGGTGGCAGTGGACTTGCCTGTGTTACTCTAGACCCACTCACTATGGCACAGCCTGCCCTTTTGTGTCCGTGTTGGTTCAGCTGTCATCTATAAATCACGTGTCAGAGGCTGTAGGGACAGGAGTGCTATTAATGTGGGGGCACGGGGCGGGGTGACCTGCAAGGCTTCCGTGCAATTGTGCTGAGGGGTTCTCATCAGAGGAGGGGAGTAAGGCGGCTGGTCAAGGGGCCTGCTAGTGGAGATAGTGATGGAAGGGTCCCACTGTTGAATTTTTCTCTCCCTCTCCTGTTATCTATCATTGAATACTTCCCTTAAGTTATCTAATTATTTTCTTAGGTGCTTTCAGGCATTTGCAGGAAGGAGTTAAGGTTGATGTCCTGGTGGCTACCTCTGCGCTCTGAGGTGGGGCTTTTGGAAGGCGGCTGATGGGGCAGGGCAGCTGGCCTGCTGTGAGGCAGGGTCTGCTCGGAGGCCCTGCAGGGCTCATCTCCCTCGGTGGTGGCAGCGGCGCCTCCCTTTTTCTGTGGCTTCCTGGCTGCCACCAGGTGAAGAGGGTTTCTTTGCCAGGCCCTTGCACCACTGTCACACTGCCTTGGGCCAGCAACGGTGTGCCAAAGCCTCTGGAACCTCGGGCAAGCCAGAGCTTTCCTCCTGCACGCCGAGGGCGCAGGTGTTATGTCTCGGTGAGCGAGAGCGAGACGGAAGCACTGAGTGCTGTATTGTTCTGTTTTCAATGACAAGTTCAGTAGATGACTTGAGAAATTGTACGTCTGGCATAGAGCTAAACAGGTTTTGCAGAACAATCTTAAAAAGCATTTACGTAAAATGAATTTATTGCAGTTTTTATAGCTCTACTGGACAACAGCATTGAATGCTATAAGGAATAAAGCTTAGCAGAGAGAAAACTGAGTCTCTTTATAGAAAAAGCCATAAATTTATTGCAAATCTAGAAGTACCAGAATGTCACTAATACAGAAGAAATCAGCAATCTCATTTTTTATTTTCTTCCAAACATTTAAAGTTGATTATCGACATACTGAAATTGGCATACATTTTTTTTTCTCATGCAGTTAACAGAATGGACATAGAGCGGATCTCTCAGAAATCAGTTATAAATACTAAGTTGCATTGAACATTCATAGTACAAAATATCCCATAAAGTGCTGAAGTGGTGAAAGTGTGCAAAGCTCCCGCGGCTGGAGGCTTTCTCCAAGCGGCGACAGACACTTGCGGGCCTACCTTGTTTCAGGTGTGTCTGTGTTAGACACTTTGTCATTTCCTCCTGCACCTTCCCCGGAGGTTACAGATTGTCCTATTTCTATGGCTGATAAAATGCTATACAAAAACGTAGCCGGTAGTGATGAACTATGCCACTCTCCTTTCAGTGCAGAGAAAGATTCAAGCTTGTGTTTACCTGGAACCAAACTAGGCTTGTTATGTTTTCCCCCTGAGTTGTCTTAAATTAACAGTAAAGATGAGTAAGGGTGGAGCAGCATGCACTGACCGTCACCCGTAAGGTGAGATTCAGTAAAACAGGTGAGGACATGGCTCACCTGTTATCCTCTTTACAGAAAACTGCTAACATGAGAAATACTAAACATAGAACATGACTCCAGAACATTGACCTGACACGTATGGCAGCGTAGGTCAAGTCAGGTTCTACGGCAGATGTAAATTGCAACTGGTAACCCGTGACGGTGATACGATGTTGCTACCCCCAAATCAAATACAGAAAGACTTCAACAGTGATGATCATTTTCAAAATCAGAAATGCTGTAACCAAATAAGCAAGATGTAATTTTGATCAGATAAGATCCTCAAGTATACTTAGCTAATAATCAACACATGATTTTCAGAGCTAAGGCGATTGCTATCCATTATTTTCTTGCCTGATAAGTAGCACACATTGCCGTTAATCAAACTGGGGCCATCACGAATGGGCCGTGTACAGGATAAAAACTGTCCTGTGGGACGTGTAGAGGATTGCAAGAAGGAGGTAAAAATGCCGTATGTGTCTCAGAATCCTTTTCATTTCTTTTGATTACTTCGGTTACCCTAGAATAACTTAATAATAAATAGTGCTTTAAATTAAGGACATTACAATCACATATTTCTGAATAACTAAAAGCGACAGGAAACACATTTTTAAATGTAATTTAGTGTATTCTGTATTGAAATACTTCTGTGATGACTGGCCGTAAAAAGAAGTGGTAATCTTCACATTTATGAAGTCCAAGTTACATAGACTGTCAAGTTGTTTGCTTATTACTCAAATGTTTGCTCTTAAACTACGGGATCCTTCATTCTCATGCAATATTTAGAAAACTCAGAGGCTGTAACTTATTAAAGGAAACTCAGCATTTTTTTTAATTAAAAAAACTTTACTCGTATTTCTGAAAACAGTATTTTTCAGTGATTGAAGGTATTCTGGTTTGGGCATGGCCAATTCCATTTCAGGGACCTGGGTAGATGTCATTTTCTGTTCTCAAGTAGGAATTTCTTACATGTGAGTGTGCACTTAGAACCACTTTGCAAATTCATGTCACTATTTTGATCATGGAATGTGAACCAGAGTCCTTCTCTATATCTTTGTATTGCTACTGAATAGAGGCAGACATACACAGATGGTGGTTTTCATTTTGGCTTCAAAAACAGAAAAGGAAAACAGCGGAAAGGAAAGACATGGTGGTGGTGCTGTTCACACGTACATTCCCTTTGAAGGTGGAGCTCAGTGCTTAGCTCCTCTGCCCCCCGCCTCCCGGGGCCCCCCTTTCCAACCAGCGCAGCAGCCGCTGTTACATGAAAATGCATCACACTGGCTCCGCTGTCGCATGAACTCTGGGCTCCATCTTCCCGAGGTCCATCTCCAGAAAGTCCTCGGGGATGTCCTGCAGCGCCTTCCCACGGGGGCTCTCTCGCTGTGTGGGCCCCGACTGGGGATGCCGGCACAGGCCCTGCTTGCACGGCCTCACCAAGGCGAGGCATGCGGCGGCCATAGCCATGCCGGTCGCACACGAGTAGAAGGCTCGGCTGTACACCTTGCTTTGGTCCACGAGCAGACCTGGGGGAAAGTGTTGGCGACATTAGCAACATCACTGCCACATGAAGCCTCTCACCCGGCTCACCGCCCGGTGTAGAACCTGCTGCTCCATTTCTCTACCTTTTTTACTTTTCAAGAAAAGAACAACACTGAAGGCCCAGATTTCAGCTTAGGCTGGAGAGAGAAGTAAACACACAGCCCCGTGAAGTAAGCGCTAGAGAGAACCAAGCTGCCTGCTGTTCTTCACGATCTGCCCTAGTAAAGAACCCATAATAGGGGATGGTTGGATGCGTATTTTTTGGAAAAGATAATACTCTATTTTTTGGTGGGGTATTAGGGCCTGAATCCAGGGCTTCCCACATGCTAGCCAAGCACTCTACCACTGACTATATTTCCAGCTTCTCTTAAAATTTTATTTTAAGACGGGGCCTCACTGAGTCGCCTAGACTTGGGATCCTTATGCCTCAGCCTCCCAAGTAGCTGGGGAGACTGGTGTGGCCCCTGCACCCAGCTTAAACGGTAATGTTTTTAAGTAATGGAAGAAGCTATGTGATTTTGCTTGTGTTCATTTCAGGTATTTCTATTCTAACAAAGAAGTGTTCTGTCCTAATCCAGTAAGTATCTGCAGAATGCTGTTGGGCTCACTTCCCAAACACCTTTCCTAAGAAAGGAAAACGACCTACAGAAGTCCCTTAGTTCCGTTTTTCCCAAAGTCAGATTGGTTATGAAGATCAGATATGGGTTTCCTCTCTAGGGATGGATAAGGAAGATGACAGAAAGGGCCTGGGAGCCAGGTATGATGGCACCCGCCTGGAATCCCAGCACTTGGGAGCCTGAGGCAAGAGGCTCGCTTCAAGCTCCAAGTACAGGGCCAGCTAAACTACAAAGTGAGAGGACTCTGCCAAAAAAGAAAAAAAAGTCTGAGGCAACTCGAACCTGGTGACACAGGTTCGAATCCTGGCTTAGTCACTCAGTACACCATGGCTGTTTTGGCTTCAATTCTTCTGCCCCTGTTTCCTCATATTTAAATCAAAGAGGACTGGGCCTCTAATCCTTAGCAGCCCTAAAACCCTACGGCAGTGTAAAAGCAGACTTAGGTTTTGAAATTAGACTCAAACAGGATACTAGGGGTGCAGACCGCGCCGGTGTGCTGTGAGTTTGAATTACCTGCCAGGGGTGGTCCCGCCAGCCCCGCGATGCTCTGAATGAACACGTAGACACCAGCTGCCGAGGGCATCTTCTCAATTCCCACCACGTCATCCTCCGCCAGCAGGGGAATGTGGCTCCCCCCTATTGTTCCAATCATAACCCCAAAAAATATGCTGCATGACATGAGACCCCAGAATTCAGTGGCAAAAGTAAAGGCAAACAGCGACACAGTCAGTAAGATGACGCAGATGAGCTCAATGTAGATCTTACGAATGGGCTCTCGGTTGAGGAGGAAGCCGGCTCCAATTCTTCCGAAGACTTCAGCAATCGCCATCGTGGATAATAAAAAAGCAGCGCGATCAGGGTCAATGCCGAGGCTGATGCCCAAAGGAATGATGTACAAGGAGGGTGCAAAGAATCCCAACGTGGCAAAGAGGCCAAACAGTGCGTAACAGATGAAACTCTTCTCTCTCAGAATGGAGAAGTCTAACAGCGGGACTTTCTTCTCGCTGTGCACAGAGCCAGTCTTCCCCAGGACCTGCTGGTCAGCCCTGGGCTCCAGCTCCGCGGCAGCGTGGCTAGGCACATTTTTCGGTGAGGTAGTTAGCTCTACTCCTGAGTCAATGGAGTCCAGCGAGGTTCGCGTTTTCTCGTTCTCAAGCATATATTGCACTTCTTTGCGGTTCTCGTGGGTGACTGTTCTCGGTGACTCTGGGGCTCTGATAATGATTGGTCTCAGCAGAGCCCCACAGACGATAATGTTGAGCTGCAGCAGCCCCACGAAGAGCAGGCTGTACCTCCAGCCGATCTGCTCCTTGAGAGCTGTGACGACTTGAGTAGGAAGGAGGACAGAAAGAAACTGGAGGTCAGTTTTGAACCCGAGACCCAGGAGTCAATATCCTGAAAGCATCTGCACGCAGACTTAGCAACAGCTTTTGTAAAAATTTACTCAACAGTGTAAATGCTGCCATTCCAGACTATCCTGTATTTTAGAGTTCAGTGCCTTTTATCAATAAGGAGAAAAATGTACAGCATAATTATTTTATCTAAAAACAAGCAGTTGTCATACTCTTGGGGGAGGTGTTTTTCTCAGAGAGAAGCGTCAGGCGTGAAGTTTGTGACCTATGCCGAGGTTTTGTGAGCAGCGGCTCGCAAACCAAAGCTGATCTGTTGCCTGGTTTTGTTAATAAAGTTGAATAGGAACCCAGCCATGCGCACTCATTACATGGTCTGCAAATGCTTTTGTGTCACAACAGCAGAACCGAGGAGCTGAGACACAGACCATGCAATCTACGAAGCCCAAATTATTCGCTCTCTGCCTTTTTACAAAACTGGTTTGCCAACCTCTGAGCTGCCCCTTTCTGCAGCCACTCATTCAGTCCCGAGGAGTAATGAATTAAATAAAAAATGAACTAAGATTCTAAAAGCTCCTAGGAGTATCCTGGAATTAAACGATATAGTTCTCTCCAGTTTCTCCCTGAGGACGGACTGACCAACCCCCCTCTGCTTACTATTAAAGCGGGGTGCAGGCTGCTGACCAGAGGGGCTGGGGGAGAGGCTGCACACAGCGTGTGGCCAAAGGTGCCGTGCACCCCACTCACTGTGGGGAACAGTGCAAGCCCTGCAGATCCTAAGAACCTTCTCCAGCTGGCCGTGCTGGCCGCGTATTTACCCCAGCACCCTGGGAGCTGAAAGAGGAGTAGTGCAAGAGGCCAGTGTACAATGTCATGGCTCAGTGAGATTCTGTCTCCTAAAGGGTTGGGGCTCAGTTCCCAGGACTGCAAAGCCCCAAAGCGAGTGCCCCTGCCTGTCTGCTTCTCTGTATGCTCACATGCACATATTCGATTTTCCAGACCTTCTGAAATCCTCCCGGCATCACTGCACCACTGCTAAATCCCTACCCCGGTGTTTCCCCTACGAACAAAAGACTGTCCACTGACACACTGACCAAGAAATGGCACAGAACAAAAGAATACGGTCTCGTCTCCAAGGTTACCTGGGGACGACTCCAGTTTTCTCGTCATTCATCTATTAACATTAGTTAAGGAACTAAACCAGGACTAACAACTTTACTGTGCGAATACCCAGATAAACGTAATAAAACGGACCTTATTATCAAAATTTAAATCCAAGAAAGAGGGCCAGCAAGATAGCTCAGTGGACTAAGCACCTGCTAAGTCAAGCACAGGGACCAGGGTTTGATCCCCAGCACCACATGCTGCACCGGCCCTGCCCGCGGGCATTCTGAGCCTGCCACTGAGACTGGGCATGGTGACATGCCTATAATTTCAGCACTGGGGAGGCTGAAGATAGGAGGATCACTACGAGTCCAAGCTACATAGGGAGGCCCTGTACCAAATACATTTAAAAAAATAAAAATAAAAATAAAAAATCTAAATCTAAGAAAGTCTTAGCACTGAGGAGGCCTCATGTGTCTTCCTTCTATGTAAACTTGGACTAGACTGAAACATCAGTTTGAATTCCTAAAATAGGGGTAGGAGGAAGGAGAGACCGTGAAAATGTGCCGAGGAAGAGTGGGCAAAGAAGCTCTCATGACACACGCAGGGAAAGGCGTCTGCATTGTTGGAAAGCACGAAGCCGGAGCGGCTCCCCCACCAAGCCACACCGATCCGTGGGCAGCGGCCATCCACCTACCTGGTGCGAAGGCAAACACAGCGAAACATTCTCCTGTGGAAGCGACTGCGGTGACCACTGAGCGTCTTTTGTCAAAGTACTGTGACAGGATGGTGACGGTGGGGAGAAAGCTAAAGCAGTATCCCAGACCTGTGGGCAGGTGACAAGGAAAAGACTGAGACACGTACCCTGACAGGTACTGGCAGGGCGCGCTCCGGGAAGGGGGCTTCTGTTCTGAGGGGCCAAGTATGCACTGTGGTGAAGGGCCAAGCAGCAAGGAAAATGGTTTTGTTAAAGGTCTAGATGAGGCGCGGCAGCTGTTGGAAGGCACTAGGATCTTTCTTTCTTTCTTTCTTTCTTTCTTTCTTTCTTTCTTTCTTTCTTTCTTTCTTTCTTTCTTTCTTTTTGTGGTACAGGGGATCAAACTCAGGACCTTGTACTTGCAGGGCAGGCTCTTATACCACTGAACTATCTCCCTGGCCCGAGCGCTAGGATCGTAAAAGCTGTTTTCCCCTTCTCTGCGCTTTTTCAAGTTTATAGAATTCACAATGGACAAATATTACTGAATATAGTTCTTTTTGAGACAAGGTCTTGTCATGTAGTTCAGGCTGGCCTTGAGCTCCCGGCGATCTTCCTGCCTTAGCCTCCCAGGTGCTGGGATTACAAGCATGCACCACCATGCCCTACTCCGAGTATAGTTTTTATATAAGCCATGCATTTACCAAGTGTGGTGGTACACACCTATAATCCCAGACATGCAGAAGGCTGATAGAATTTGTAAATTTGAAGGCAGCCTGGGCAACTTACTGAGACCCCATCTAAAAATTGTAAAGCGGGGGAGGGGGAGCGGTGTTGGTGTGTATCTCGGTGGTAGGGCACTTGCCTTGCACGCACAAGGCCCTGGGTTTCATCTCCAGTGTGCAAATCTAGTGAACACACATCTGTTCTCCGTGAGCAATGTACGCATGGTCCCTTTTTAAAGGCACAGAATGGCCAGCCTTTGCCCCACGGCACGAGGCCCTGGGGCCAAAGCCAACAGCGCAGGAAAGTGAAGAGGGACATGTTCTTCGTCTTCCCAAGAGTAAGTACAGGATGCTGCACGCCCTTTACAGCCCTGGCTCACCAGACCCTTATCTGAGAAATAAATACTGGCTAAAGCAACTGGCTTACTTTGCCACAGGGGTGGTTTTTGGTTGCAAACTAGAGCAACAGAGAAGTTATCTTTATTATTGGTAAATACTTTTTAAAAAATAAAAAAAAATCAAAAACTCTGGGGCATGTCTCCTTCGTGTAAGAGCCTGAAAAAATAAATAAAACCTCAAAGGTATAATACATATGGTAAAACAGAAAGAAACAGAACATAAGCATTAAATATGGAAGATGAGGGAAAGGAGAAAAGAAAAAAAAAGGAAGGGGGGAAACATACAAGTATATTGTTGCCTACAATGGGTGGCTGAGGTGATTGTACTAATAATTCCTATCAGTTTTTTGAAACTAGCCATTAATATGTAGAATTTTCACCTTGACTAACTCTGTATGCTGACATCTGTGACCTCAACAACTACATCGAGGACAGCAGTGTGTAATAGAGAAACTATCACTGAATACCTCTCATCTTGGTCTTCTAAATGTGCACCGTTTCTAATGTCTTCTCAATTGTTATTACGATACTCTCTTTAAAATAAATTTTTAAACAAGTAAAAATGACAAGGAAAAAAATTAAGGTTCGTTGAAAGCAAGCATTAATATTCAATGATTTGTCCAATCTTACGTAGCTAAATCTGTAAATCTGAGCATTTGACGATAAAAATATGTAATGTAACAACCATTGTTAAAACAGAACTCTGGGGCATGTGAGAATATTCTCCATCTCCCCTGAGGATTTCATACTGCCCAATTCAGACCTCTAATCTCAGACATTATTCACTTTAAAGATAAATAGTATGACTTGGGTCTAATTCCCCGCCTCCCCGTTGCTGGCCTTCCAGCCCTCTAGGGCGGCTTACCTGAGATGACCCCGATGGTGATGTACATGTGGTAAACCGTCTGCGAGAAGGAGGCCGCCACCATCCCAGTGCTGACCAGCAGCCCCCCAACCATCACCACCACGCGGGGTCCGAAGCGATTGCTCAGGACCGTGGAGAGCGGAGCTAAAAGGAGTAAAGGAATAAAGTGTGACTAATGTGGGGGTTAGCTTTTGTAGGGCTCCTCATTGTACTATGGAACCTGGAAGGCTGGTCTCAAGTATGTAATCCATTTTCCTGCAATGGCTACTGATGTCTGTTTAGAAATTATTATTATTATTATTATTATTATTATTATTATTATTATGTATTTAGGACAGGATCTACAGGGCCTACAGGGTCTCACTGCGTAGACTGGACTTGGAGTGATTCTCCTGTTTTCAGCTTCCCAAGTGCTGGGATTACAGGCACGCACCACCACGTCCAGTCTCAATCGCTGCCTCAACACCTCACACCCCCAGCACTCCCACAGGTGGGGTTGGCACGCACAGGGGATGAACCCCAGGAGCTGCGCTCTGCCTAAGCAGGTGCTTTAGTCCACTGAACTATCAGGCTGGCCCTAGAAATTATTTAGTGCTCCTTCAAATTAGACAAGATTCTTTGGTCCTGTTAAAGAGAAAGACAGCCAGGTGTGGTGGCTCATGCCTGTAATCCCAGCACTTGGGAGGCTGAGGCAGGAGGATCACAGCAAGTATGAGACCTGTCTGGGCTACACCGTGAGCGCAAGGCCAGCCTGAGCTGCACAGCAGAGGAGACTGTCTCAAAAAAAAAGTCAACAGGAGCACAGCTTATGGGCAGAGAGGTCACCTAGCACGTGCAAGAGGTTTAGTCCCCAGCACCAAAAACTTGGAGCGAGCCAGATCAACAAGGGTGTAAATCGCCTATCTATCTTACCTATATTTTTAGATTTTCAGATCTTGACTCGCTATGAGCAGCTGTAGAATTAGATGTGCATTTCTGTGACTCTGTAATAAAAACTGGTTTTTCTCTAGCTGCTTGAATCTTTTTGCTCCTGCACTTATTGCGCTGGATTCTTTTGTTGAAGTTCCAACAGGGGTAAAATCCTGTTGGCTTTGACTTTTCTGAAAATGATGTCAGTAAAGTTTCAGTTATGCAGACCTAAATGAAGGGATGGGAGACGAGGAATCCTAGTTTGCTCAGCTTCTATATTCCTTGTCCGATGATACCTTTCAATCCAGCGAATGAGATTTCCGCTTGTACATTAGCTAAGGCTGACTTGCATAAACAGAGACCAGTGGGCCAGAGAAAGCTGAGCTCCTGACAGAAGCAGGGTGGAAAGGGTGGGATTGGGCAGGCCAGAGAGCTCAGTGGACTAACGCACTTGCTTAGGCAGAGTGCAGCGGTGGGGTTCAATCCCGCCCCTGGGGCATGCTGAGACCTTGACTGAGACTGGGAGCAGTGGCACAAGCCTGTAATCCCAGCTCTTGTGGGGCTGAAAACAGGATAATCACCGCGAGTTCCATCTGTGTGGAGAGACCTGGTAGACCCTATACTAAATACATTGAAAAAAATGCTAAAACCCGATTTATTTTATGCACTTAGATCTGTGAGAACCGCACGGAGACAGCCAGTCCAGGACCTCAGGGAGCTAGGTGTGTGGAACGCGCGTCTCTGGGGACGGCACCTGCAATCTTGCACTGCCGTTCTCACCAGTGTCCGCAGGGGACTGTTTCTAGCAGCCCCCGAGCCCACAGATTCTCTGGTCCCTGCTTTGCATTTTTTACGTATTAACCTCAGGACATGCTATACACTTTCAGCCTCTTCATTAACTCATACATAATACCTAATATAATGTATTATATTAGGTATATTATAAAGATAAGACAGGGTGTGTGTGTGTGTGTGTGTGTGTGTGTGTGTGACATAGCTCAGTCATGTAAGTGCCTGCCTGGAAAGCGCAAGGTCCCGAGTTGGATCCCCAGTACAGGCAAGCACTTTTCCCCTGAGCTATCTCCCTAGCCCCTAAGATCCTCAGTACCAAAAAAAAAAAAAAAAAAAAAAAAAAAAAAACCCCAACCCAACCACAACAAACACTAACACTCTCCACTTGTTAGGGAACAATGACAAGAAAAAGAAATCCGGGAACATGCAGTGCAG